AAAAGTTGTAGGGGCATGAAAATATGACCCAAAAATATGATATCCAGTCAATTTATAATTCAAATATAAAGACCACAGGCAAACATTGTTAACCAGTAAGAACTCAGAAATCATAGAGCATGTGAGTCTGCAACTTGAACACAAATTTGATAATGAAATTCAGCCAGCAAAGAGCTGAATCAAAATAAAATATTCATTTAAAAAAAGGTAAAATAACTGGTGGTAAATACTGACATCTTCTAACAAGCCAAGTTAACACAACTCCAAAAATCATAGTACATTTTATAAATGAAATAAACCTTAATATATAAGAATAATAATTAAGAAAAATTTAGAATTAACGGGAAAGTACTTAAAGTACACTACCATTTAATTCCTCATCTTTTTTTTGTTTTATTTCATTTTTGAGACTAAGTCTTACTCTGTCCCAGGCTGGAGTGCAGTGGCACGATCTCAGCTCACTGCAACCTCCACCTCCCGGGTTCAAACTATTCTCCTGCTTCAGCCTCCTGAGTAGCTAGGATTACAGGTGTGCACCACCACACCCAGCTAATTTTTGTGTTTTTAGTAGAGATGAGGTTTTGTCATGTTGGCCAGGCTGATCCCGAACTCCTGACCTTGTGATCCACCCACCTCAGCCTCCCAAAGTGCTGAGATACAGGCATGAGCTACAATGCCTGGCCAACTCCTCATCTTTTACAGTAGTGAATAAACTGATGTTTTTGAAAAATAAAATATATAGGAAAAGGGAAAAAATTATTTGAACGTCTTAATTATTTTATAATAATGCTTCTTAACCATAGAAGATTGTTTTAGAAAATGATCTTTCTTACATTTATCTTAAGTTTGGGAAGTTATCTCCACTTTAGTTGCCTTTTCACTCATTAAATTCAAGTAAAAGAAAATTTAAAACATTTCATTAAAAAGCACATATAATCCTATTTTTATGAAAAATTATTTTTGCCCAGTGACATGTATGTCTGTATACACGCATTTACTACATATACATACATACAAAGATACATGTATGTACATCATATATAATATACAAACACACAGAGAGATAAATAGCATGATTTCTGGAATGTTATTCACGTAAGATTAATTATACGTATTTCTGGGTGGTGGGATTTTGAGTAATGTTTCACATTCTTTGAACTTTTCTGAATTGCTTACAATTTTTTATAGAGTATATGCCAGTTGGAAAAACAATAATTTCCAAACTTAATACAAAGCTACAGTAATCAAGACAATATGATACTAGCACAAGAATAGAAATAATGACTAATGGAATTGAATTGAGAGTCCAGAAGTAAATGCTTACATTAATGGTCAACTGATTTTTGGCAAGGGTACCGAGACAATTCAATGGAGGGAAAGAATAGTCTTTTTAACAAATGGTTTAGGGGACAACTGGATATTCACATGCAAAAAAAAATGAAGTTGCACTGTCATCCTTATGACATATATAGAAATTAATTCAAAACAGATCAAAGGACTAAATGTAAGAGCTAATGAGATAAAACTCTTAGATAAAAACCCGTAAGAGTGAATGTTTGTGACCTTTAACTAAGCAACATTTTCTTGGTTATAACACTTACAGCACAATAAACCAAAGAGAAAACAGATACATTGGACTTCATCAAAATTAAAAACTTTTGTGCTATAAAGGACACCATCAAGACAGTAAAAACACAAAACATAAAACAAAATATTTGGAAATCATATATCTGATAAGAGACTTATATCCAAAATATATAAAGAACTCTTACAACTCAATAATAAAAGACAACCAAAATTTTAAAACGGGCAAATAATCTGAATAAATATTTCTCTAAGGAAGAAATAACCCATAAGCACATAAAAAATGCTCAATACCATTAGCCATTACAGAAATGCAAATCAAAACCATGTAATAAAAAAATCCAGAGGGGATTAAGTGTTGGCAAGTGTGTGAAGAAACTGGAACCCTTGTGCATTTCCGGTGGGAATGTAAAATGTCGCAGCCAATGTGGAAATAGTATGGCAATTCTTCAAAAAGCTAAACATAGAATTATTGTATAACCCAGCAATTCCACTTCTGGGTATATACTGAAAATAACTGAAAGCAGGGACTTGAACAGATATTTTAAACACTAATGTTCATAGCAGCATTATTCACAACAGCCAAAAGATGGAAAAAATGCAAATGTTCAGGAAAGAATTAATGGGTAAACAATATGTGGTATATACACACAATGGAGCATTCAGCCTTAAGACAGGAGGAAATTCTGGGACATGCTTCAACAGGGTTGACCTCTGAAGACATTATGCTAAGTGAAGTAAGCCACATACAAAAGGACAGATACTATGTGGTTCCACTTACATGAGGTACCTAGAGGTGTCAAATTCATAGAGACAGAAAGTGGAATGGTGGTTGCTGGGGCTGAGGGAGGAAAGAATGGAGGGTTATTGTGATGAAATACTAATAGTATGAGAGATGGATGGTGGTAATGATTGCACAAAACTGTGAATGTACTTAATGCCACTGAACTGTAAACTTTAAAATGGCTAAAATGGTAAAGTTTTATGTATATTTTATCACAATTAAATAAAAATGAAAATAAAAAGGGAAGAAAGTACTGACACATGTTACATGAACCTTGAAAACATTATGTTAAGAAAGCCAGACACATTGGGAGGCAAAGTTGGGCAGATCACAAGGTCGGGATTCAAGACCAACCTGGCCAACATGGTGAAACCCTGTATCTACTAAAAATAAAAACAATTAGCCAGGCATTGTGGGGCATGCCTGTAATCACAGCTACTCGGGAGGCTGAGGCAGGAGAATCACCTGAATGTGGGAGGCAGAGGTTGCAGTGAGCCGAGATCATGCCACTGCACTCCAGCTGGGGCGACAGGGTGAGGCTCTGTCCCAAAAAAAAAAAAAAAAAAAGAAAGAAAGAAAGCTCTGCCACCCAGGCTAGAATGCAGTGGTGTAATCTCAGCTCACTGCAACCTCCACCTCCTGAGTTCCAATGATTCTCCTGCCTCAGCCTCCCAAGTAGCTAGGGCTACAGGTGCCTGCTACCATGCCTGGCTAATTTTTTGTATTTTTAGTAAAGACAAGATTTCACCATGTTAGCCAGGATAATCTCGGTCTCCTGACTTTGTGATCCACCCACTTTGGCCTCCCAAAGAGCTGGGATTACAGGCATGAGCCACCATGCCTGGCCAGCATATGATTCTTTTATATGAAATGTCTAGAATAGGCAAATCCACAGAGACAGAAAGCAGATTAGTGGTTAGGTAGGGCTGGGGAAGGAAAACTGGGGAAATGACTGCTAATGATTTCTTCTGGGTTTGGTGACTATGTACTAAAATTAGATAATGATGATGGGTGAACAACCGTGTGAATATACCAAAAACCCCTGACTTGTAGATGTTCAAAGGGTTAACTTGACAGTATATGAATTTTATCTCAATGAAGTTGCTATGAAAAAACAACAATGTAATCATTCAAAAGAGATAAACAGGCTTGGCACGGTGGCTCACACCTGTAATCCCAGGACTTTGGGATGCCAAGGCGGGCAGTTCACCTGAGGTCAGGAGTTTGAAACCAGCCTGGCCAACATAGTAAAACCCCATCTCTACTAAAAATACAAAAATTAGCAGGGTGTGGTGGCACATCCCTGTAATCCCAGCTACTCAGGAGGCTGAGGTGGGAGAATCACTTGAACCCAGGAGGTAGAGATTGCAGTGGGCCAAGATTGCACCATTGCACTCCAGCATAGGTGACAGAATGAGAATCTGTCTCAAAAAAAAAAAAATTAAAAAAAAGAGAGAGAGAAGCAAATGAAAAACTAAACAGTTTGGATAAGAGAGCAGTAAGAGTTCCATGGGAAGTGAAAATCAGAACCTCCAAAGTCATGATAAATACAATGCATTTATTTAACACTGCTGCAGACTCTTGGTGAGAAGTGGTTCAAGCAGTAGGAATTTGGACTCATCAGTCAGCCAAGCATGTAAGACTTCTGAACCAGTTTTAAGATTGCCTTTCCAAATATATGCTTAGGAAGGATTTTCCCCACACCCAATACAAAAATAAAAAGAACACAGAGGAATAGCCATCCAGTCTTGTTACACTCATGTTATTCGTCCATCTGTGTTCAAATTACACATGCACATCCTTTACATCTAACATTGTATTACAGCTGTATATGAGCACAATTTCAAAGATGAAAAAGATCCATTAGTCCAATCCATGCTAAGGATGCATCACCTATTTTCTATTAGTTATGAGTGTCAGTTTCAGGGCCTTCCACTCTTTGTTAACTTCCTTGCTGTGTACTGCTTGGCCCCATACCCATACGAGCTGACAGGGTGTCTGATAGTTTTATGGCCAGGCTGTCTGAATATTTCAGTGTATCTTGTTATTAATCTATTGATCAAACATTTATGGAGTACCTACTGTGTGCCAATCATGTGCTAAGTACTGGTAAACAGTATAGTCTGGCCTTGTTGGGCATAAACATAGAGTGAAGGAGAGAGAAAAGAAACAAATAGGCCCATAATGAAAATATAATTACAGACAATGGCAAGGCAATGGAAAGGGCAAAGGGGTGAGACATGTTGGCCTGGATGTGGATCTGTTTAGCCAGGTGACTTGGAGGCTGTGGCATTCAAACTAAGACCAGAAGGTAAGAAGGAGGCAATCTTGCAAAGATAAGTCCAGGTAAAGGGAACAGCAGGACTGTTTTATTTCTGTTTTTAAGGTCACTAAAACTATCCACATTACTGTGTGTGAGACAGCTTTGGGTTACAGTTTATCTCAGAAATACAGAGAGATCACCCTCCCTGAAGCAACACTTTCTCTGTGTCTATTTCATTAACTTCCTATTTTTCCCACTGCATTAAGTGGGAAATCTTTTCCCTACTCTTTAATACTGACATAATCTAATCTTCACGTGCCATACCCACTCCAATCATATCTCATGGACTCATGAGGACCCATAAATTACCTGGGAAAGAATGAGCTGTCCATGAAATGTGTGCACAAATTTTCTTAAAAACGAAAGGTAGGTTTCATCTCCAAGTCTTTTGGCAAGAAACCGAAGAAGGAAGTAGCCCTGGAAGAAAGAAAAAAGAGAAAGAGGCCTGCCATGAGTTCATCAAAAAATGCTTAGTCATCCCAAACTAACCCACAGTGCACTGGCGCATCAGAAGGTGCTGTCCTACCCATCCCCGGCTGCCCTTTACATTTTCACAAGGAAGGCTTGGCACGGAAATTAATTACTTCTCAGCTCCTTTGTTAACACCATCATCATTTCTGTTTAGACTTGGTTTACCTGACGCCTAGATGGCCATCGCAGACAAAAAGAGAAGAGAGACCCAGCTCTTCTCTGCTCCAGCTACCAGGAAAGGCCTTTACAATGGAACAGACTTTCTTCTCAACCATGTCTTTTTGGTAGGAACCTGACAGCAGTGTGAGAGTTCTGCTCCTCAAATGGGGAGAACAGAGGTACAGGGCAGGGAATATTTCAGCTTTCTTTCATTCAGTCTTTCCTAACATGGTCTCCTTTGTTGGGTATGAAGTGCTTTAATTACTGAACACTCTGATATCTGGCCAGTCAGATGTCATTATAATATTTTCGCCTTAGTCATGTTACTAAAAACTATTGTTTAATTGTAGAGCCTAAAAAATGCTGCACCACAGTAACTGGCTTCTACCACTGAGATGCGCTTACCTTTAAATAATGGACTTGCATGAAGATCTTCTCCGGATTGAGTCCTTGCTTGATAACAGATGCTCCTGAGTCACTTGTGTGGCCAGTTTTGTCTTTACTGGGTCTAAAATGATTTGGTAACAATTTTTTTAAGTATAGCACATTCTTAAGTAATTAGGCCATAATAGTATTTTATTTCTTATTTTCAGAGTTGCTCAATATCATCCTGGGTCTATTCAATAGTACCAGGTATAATTCAGAACAGTTTGTATTACTTGCTCATCTACTGAATAAGGAGGGATTTACATTTGGGTTGGGAACCTGAAGTTGGCTACTGGCAAATATTTGACATCAACTTATCCAAAATTAAAGCCTACTAGACCCTCAAGGGATCTAAGCTCCACTATGAATTACCTAAGAACATATACTCTTTTTTGATGACGGACTGGGAAATGCAATGGAAAATTCAGTTGTACTTGGAAAAGTAAAGAACTTGCGTGTATTTCAAGAAATTCTGAAAGCCCCAATGTTATCCACTTCTCTGTTACATTTAGCAATTAAGGCTCTTTTAATAAATATATGTACTTTCCAACCATATTAGAATCACAAAAACAAAATCAAAAAGGCCATAGAAGCTCATGTTTTTGGAACAGGTGGGAGCATTAATAATCCCATACTTCAACTTCCTCGTTTCACACATGAGGTAAACTGAGGCACACAGACGTTAGGTCTACACTAAGTTTGTCCAACCCACAGCCTGTGGGCAACATGTAGCCCAAGAGGGCTTTGAATGTGGCCCAACACAAATTCATAAACTTCTTAAAATATTACGAGATTTTTTGGCAATGTTTCTCAGTTTATCAGCTGTCATTAGTGTATTTTATATATGGCCCAACACAATTCTTCTTCTTCCATTGTGGCCCAGGGAAGCCAAAAGATTGGACAGACATGATCCACTGAAGGTCTTATGCTTTTTTTTTTTTTTGAGTAAGGGTTTCACTTCCTTTACCCAGGTTGGATGCAATTGTGCAATCTTGGCTCACTGCAACCTCTGCCTCCTGAGCTCAAATTATCCTCCTTCCTCAGCCTCTCAAGTAGCTGGGATTACCGGAGCCTTCCACCATACTCTGCTAATTTTTGCATTTTTTATAGAGATGGGGTTTTGCCATGTTGGCCAGGCTGGTCTCGAACTCCTGAGCTCAAGTGATCCACCTGCCTCAGCCTCCCAAAGTGTTGGAATTATAGGCATGAGCCACCATGCCCAGCCTTATGCCTTGTTTTGATTTCTGGTGACATTAGGACTAAAACCAGTGACTCCTTATTATCCATCAAGGTCTTTTCCACTATGCTCTATGGTTTTACATATTTTACAAAATTTAAATTTTAAAGTTTTAAATATTTTAAATAAAATATAACAGATCCTTTGAGCCATCTAGTAAAGATTTGTGCATTGTTACAGTGTAGCTTCAACAGCTAGCTAAAATAAAAATAAGTGAGGAGGTATGTGCAGCTTTCAGTTGTTCTGAAACCAGCCACTCACTGGATCAACACTGAGGAGCACTGTGTTGAGGCAAGGGAAGTCAAGGAACCATGAGAGGGCTGGTGTATTAGAAAGGCAAGGGGTTATTTTAAGAGGTAGTGTGGCGGTGCAGAAGCTACGTAGCCTTTGGAATATGAGACCTAGTTTAGACTATCAGCCTTACTTCTTACTCTACCTGTTACTTACTAGCAGGTTACTTAAAGTCTCTAACTCTCATTTACTCACTTGCAAAATGGGAATAATCCTAACCACCTTTCTAGATCCTGTGAAAAATAACTGAAATAATAAATTGCAAAGTCCCTAGCAAGGGCCAGGGATACAGAAATTACCTAATAAACTTAATAAAATATTCCATTTTAGCACACAGGATCCCTGATTAAGTCTTAGATGAATATTCTGGGGCATTATCCCAGCAGACACAAGGCACAGAATCAGCAGTACCTAAAAGAAAGATGTTGATGAAAACCATCAGAGCTAACTGCATACTTTTCATTTTTCTACTTGATCCCTGACTTATCTACATGCCCACACTTGTAAGAATTACTAATCCATTTCATCTTCATTTAAGACTCTCCTGAAAAGAATCAGCTTTTTTCACTGCTCTCAAGTTAGTCCTGCAGTGCAATGTTTTCATAAGAAAGCCACACTAGCTTTGATAAGGAAAGCCCATCACCCACTGTCTGGGGAAGGAAGACTTCTCAAGAGTCAGTCTGAACTCAAACTAGGTTGCCCAGCCCCATGACAGGCAGAGCTACCATGCATCCTTTTTGCCCTTGAGCCCTGAATCGAGACTGCTTGAAGGGGAGAAACACAGAAGAATGATAAATCTCTGCTAAGAAGGCTGGCTTCCAGGCTCCAGTTCCCATAATGCCTTCAATTGCTGTTTTTTCCTTTGTCTAAAAATGTCCTTCCCGAAAGCATCCCTCTCTAACTCTCTTCTTCCATCCTCTCCAAGTGAAGAAGTGCTCAAGAAAATTATTTGATGCTAACAGCATTCAAAGCCAACATACAAGTTCCCAAGAGATTTCTTTGACAGCAGCTTGGTGCTGGAGAGGGCAGTGCACAGGCAAGCTTTGCAAGAAACCAGAGGGGGTGGTTTCTAGGAGGAAAAGACACTCCATGAATGGAAACAGGAAACTTCCATCTCTGTGCTACTCTGGTTCTCACAATGCTACTAATCCCAGGTCTTTGCAGAGAGACATAGTATGGGAGAAAGCAGATGAACTACAAAAACACAGAGTAACACAGATGACTCACAGGTGAGTCAAAGAAGTCAGGCCCATGAGTGCACATACAAATGTATGAGTCCATTTTAATGAAATCCAAGAACAGGCAAAACTGACCTATGGGGATAGAGATCAGAATAATGGTTATCTTTGGGAGGGAGTACTAACAGAGAGTGGAGAAATAGAAAGGTTTCTGAGATGCTGGGAATGTTCTATAGCTTGATTTGAATGTACTTTCATGGGGATAAATCATAAAAATCCTTTGAACTACCTATCAAAGACTTGTGCACTTTAGTGTATCTATGTTATATTTCATTTAAAAAGTTAAGAGATGCACGTACATGAAACAGCACACACTTGTGAGACGGAAAGGCAGTCAGTCTAGAAAAGGGACTTTGCCGCTCACATGCCACAAGCAAGCACATGACTAGGATGAACTAAGCCCTAAGCACCTAAGGACCAATGAAAATTTTTTTAAATGACAATGTGAGAGGCAGGAAGGGCTGTGGCCAATCCAAATGGTCAGTCTACTCCCATTCTCATTTGCCTTCTTCCTTGCCACTTCTACCATGGAATCTAAAAAGCTACTGGTCATTTTCCAAGTGTCCCTTACAGCTGTGGACAGCCAGGGCACTTAGTCCGGGCCAAAAAGACAAAAGCAGGTGTCTGCTGTGTTTGCATACTGAGGTAGGGTTCTGGAAAAGCTCTAACTTTCTTTACAAAGGGGGAAAATATGACTGCTACCGCACCTCTTCCCCACAAGCATGGTGGATGGAGCTGCGACGGCCATCTTGCCACCACGAGGCAGCAAACCAGTGTTCTGCGGAGAGCAGAGAGGACTGAAGGAAGGCAAACAGCCTTCTGCTCCTGGGCAGCCTAAGACTGCCTGCCTTCTGACTTCTTATTGTGCATGAGAGATAACTATCATTTGTTCAAGTCAACCATTGTTTTACTGTTGCATTAACTGTAGCCAGATTAGTTTCTAACAGGATTAGTACTAACAGCTAGCATTTCCTGGTTATCCTCTGTGCCAGATACTCTGCTAAACTCTTATTATGCATCATACCCTCTACCCTCATAACATCCTGATGAGGCCACATCCTGATTATTGCCATTTAAAAGCTAAAGAAAGTGAGTCCTAGTGAAGATCATGAAACTGGTTAGTGGCAGAGTCAAGAACCCAGGTCCACAGAATACCAAAGTCCTTGCTACACTCTCGGGCCTCCCCAAGATCCAGGTCCCCATCTTGGCTGTGCCAAGTACGAAGTGGAGAACCTTAGATGAATTGCTTACCCTCCCTGAAGCTCAGCTTCTTCACCTGTGAAGTCTGTGATGAGACTCAGGTCATGTGGAAGAATTCCATAAAAGCAAAAGTGTTAAACATCTCTTAGATATTACACTCCAGTGTTTATTTCTTTGGCTGGAATACATGGAATGTGAGAGATCAAGTTACCAAGGTCATCTGGGCTCAAATGCCCTTGGTTCTTGTTGTACCTGGCACCAAATGCAACAACTGAGATTGACACACCCTTTCCCTTCTTCACGCCCTCCTTTTCCACCGCAACCACAGAGGCGATGCGGATATTTAGAGTGGGCAGGTGGCAGTGATATCTGATACATAATGATTTGATTTGGAATCAGGCCTCCTGAAGAAAGGACCAATCCTGCAGGATAACCCCAAGGGTAGGATTTGGGAAAATGCCTCTGAACAGTTCTCTGGCCTGTCAGCCGGGTCTGAACACCCACCTGCTGCTCTGCCCCTATCCAGATGGACCATCCACCAGCACTCTTTCTTTCACACTCCCGGCAGTCAGCATGACAGCCACAAGAGATCTTTATCTGAAAATTTGCTGCTGCCATGCCTGAGCTAGAGACTAAGCATCTCAGAAATTAGTCAGAAGGGAATTAATTAGCATCTAAACATCTCAGTGTTTCTGTTAGTCGCAGCTGCCCCACCAGGTTTGACAGCTTTGAGAGCAGGGCCTCACTCACCCTGCAATAATGGAGGAAGTGAAATCTGACCCTTGTGTAGAGACTGGCCTGACAGTACCCATCTGAGCCTGAGATGCACAGGTGAGACCTGCAGGGGAAGCAGCGTGACACACTGGGTGAGGGCTTGGACCCAAGTCTCTCCACCCACTGCTGCGTGACCTTGAGCATGAGCCCCACGCAGCCCCTCATCTGTGCAAAGGGGACAGTGAGAGTCACGGGAGCAGCTCCCAGGGCTGTGTGGCACCAAAGCACTCAGCCAGAGCTCCTCCTGGCATTCAGTAGCCCAGTGTAAATGTGGCTATTACAATAATATTGTGTTCTGACTGACGTTCCATTAGCATCAGCTAAAGCTTCCTCTGACAGGCA